AAGGTCGTCATATAATGCTTTAAAATATTAGATTTAAACAATTGGAATGGTGATATTTATCATCAATAACGTTATATTGACTTACATAAAAAAAAATTTAAAATCCAATTTATATGATTTTTATATATAATTATTTTTTATTTTAGAATGTGCATTCTGACGAATGTATCCTACTTTTAGATATTATTTTTCTTATTCCTACGTTTCAAATTTCAGCAATTGAAAGCACGAGCTACGAATAATAGACTAGAATTAATATATTGAGAGATACAGTCCATTTCTCTCTATCTACGACAATATCCAATAGTGTTTGCCACTCAATGGACCGTTCAGAGTAAAAGGAAGCTTCCACAGCGAGAAGGTGTGGTCTGGTGTTAAGCAGCATTTATATCAACTCTTCTCCACCGCATAACTAATATCAATTTAATTGTAGATTTTTTTTATAGTTTATCAAAATGTACTTAATACTTGAATTTATAGTAAATATTTACATGGATTTCACTATAGTAAGTAAAATGAATTTCACTCCAGTAAATTTGGTAATGTCAACAGACAAAAGAATTTTAGAGTGAAAAAAACAAACGTGTTCCAATATTGATCGCAAAAAATAAAATAAAAATTAAAAAAAAAAAAAATCAGAAGAGATTTTGGGACCACATAATCAATTGTAGTCTGAATTGAAAAATATATATGAAACTATATAATAAACACTTTAGTATAATTCCTTTTATTTATTTATTTTCCAGAAGAAAGCCGACATTCTGATTTGTTTATAAGTATGTTTAAATGGTTTAATGGAAACTTCCAAGAAAATGATAACTTCAATGAAGAAACCAGGTATTATATATATTCAAGGTCCTAGCTGTGATTTCTTACTTTTTATGGAACAAAAATATTCGTTGACACTTTTTACGATGATTCTTAAATTTAATCTAACAATTACATTCCAAAGCCACTCATATTCTTTCCTTTTAATACAAAATTACTATCTCTATTTGTACTTTTCAAATTTAATAGAATGAATTCCAAAAAATTCTTCTCGACAATCACTTACTTACAAAAAAACCCTTTATAAATATGTTTAGCAAGAAACTCTTTCAACTAGAGGACATTTTAATTGACATTCATCCCTATCTAATTTTTTTGGACGAAATTACCCTTTCCATCAACAGTTTTTTTTTTTTTTAAACGTCTCAATCTCCACCATCTCACTATCACCACCACAACCCACCTCCGCCATTACCACCACCTCCGCTTACCACCACTACCCTCCTTTGCCGCATCCTCTCAGGCAGCAGCTCAGTCGCCGTACGACCACAAAACCACCACAATTTTATATCCTAAATTGAAGGGTGACTGAACGAGGAAGAAGAATCTTATCTTATATATATACATATATGGGAAACCTGCTGCAGAATGTTTGGTATTTTCTTCTTTTTCTTTTTCTTTTCCCCCAATTCACCATGTGCGGAATTTTATTGCAGATGAAACATTTTCCTCAAGCTGGTGCAATATCCAATTACTTGAAATTAAAGTTCTAATATTGAATTTCCAAATCAGCAATTACAGCCTGCCTGACTGCCCAACTAAACTGAGTAACTTTCCTTTGCTTGGTTCTTTGTCCAGTCTAAAGGGAGTCATACTATAAAATATTTCAATTTCTTCCCTTAGTAAATCCACATTACAATTCAGGAATTTGCAGAAGGGAAAGCTAGGACACTTGTCCCAAGTTTTGTTGGACAAAAAAAGTCACGTTAGATAGTGGACTGTGGTGGTAATGGCGGAGGTGGGTTACGGTGGGGATGGTGGAATGGAGGAGATTGAGAGGTTAGAGAGAAAGTAAGGAAAAAAAAAAAAAAAAATAGAGAGATGGATGTAAGTTAAAATGCCCACTTAATATAGTTGAGACGAATTTTTGCAATTCGCTCAATTTAATACGATGTTGCGCAAGCGATTGTGCATTCATAGTCGCACATTTGATTGGTTGAAAAATAAGTTGTAATTAATGTGTCTTTCCTATTTTTTTGTAATTATAAAACTTCAACTTTAAGACCAAATTACCCTTTTAAATTATTTTCTCTTTCTTTATACCTAATTATTTATTTATTTATTTATTTATTTTTACAACGTAATTTATTTATTTTTACAACGTAAGAAATGTTAAAAGTTAAATTAGTAGGTGCAAAGAGTTAAAGCTTGACAAAATCCACCGGAGGCACTAATCACTGGGTTATCGAGGCATCTGCTTCTTTATATCTAATAACCTTCCTTCTTTTCTTTGCTTCTTTTCTTTTCTAATTTTTTTTTTTTTAATTTTTAACAATTGTCTTTTTTCTTTCCTCTTTCTTTCCTGATTAGATATATATGGCTATACTTTATTCTTTACTTTCTTTCTTTCTTTCTTTCTTTTTTGTTCACTTGTCTTTTATATGCATAAATATTCCACTTTGATGGATTTTTTATTGGATTTTATGTAATTTAATTGAAATAACTGTATGATATTAAGTTTTAGTTAATATATGAGATAAGAGAAATATCGTTTTCCAATCTGTTAACTACTATATATATATATATATAAAATAAAAGAATAAATTTATAATTTTTTTTTCTCTCTTTATCTAAAGAAGAAGAAAGAGTGAAAAACCATTCACACGGTGAGCACACATATATATAGTTAAAAACAATTGAAAAAGAGAGAGAAAAAAATAAGGTAGGACAGAAAAAAGAAAAAGAAAGAAATATGAAAGGATAATTTGGTTTTCAAAGTTAAAGTTTTATAGTTTCAAAAAATAGAAAAGAGGAATTAATTATAATTTCTATAATTGGGTTTTCAACCAATTAGATGTGCGACTATGAATTCACAGTCGCGGACCGCGACTGTATTTAACAAAAATAAAAATAAAAATAGAAATAGAAAAATAAAAATAAAAATAAAAATAGAAAAATAGATTAGAAGAATTGTCAACATGTCATCTCCATCCGCGACTTTATTTAACAAAAATAAAAATAAAAATAGAAATAGAAAAATAAAAATAAAAATAAAAATAGAAAAATAGATTAGAAGAATTGTCAACATGTCATCTCCATCGTGGCATGACATCTACAGACCCTTATCATCTGAGTATATATGAGGGTAAGCAAGAAAGATAAAAGGGATCCCATTTGGAGGATAAGGGTTTGATGGAAGAGAATTTTCAAAATGTTTTTATCAATTATTAAAACAATAATTCTTTATCTTCAACTTAATTAATTTTAAAAAGTAATAATGTACTTTTTATTTATTTATTTATTTTTATCAGACAAGTAATAATGTACTTGGTAAACTTTTCTGTAGATAGAAAAAATAAACTGAAACTGTAGTTTGAAACTAAATTTGTTTTTTTTTTTTTTTTTTTTTTTGAAAAATGTTTTATAATTTCATTTAAATCATGCTTCTTCTCCTTTGAAATTTCATCATCATCATTCTTGTCTTTTATATCATATAAATGATGTCGATCACATGAGTTCTTTTTTTTTACTCTTTTATATTTTATATCATGTTCTCCTCATTTAAAATTTAAGATATGCAATTGATATTGCTCATAAATGTGACACTCACTAGCCAATCGAATCAAGATTTTAAAGTCTTTTATGAATCCCAAATTCTTTTCATCTTTTGACATTCTTATTTTTTATATGAGGTGAAGAGATTTTTTATATATTTATTTTTGTGATAACATTTTTTATTTATTTTTGTTATAAGTAGTGGTATTGATAAATATTAAATTTAAGAAGTAAAAAAATTAATTTTAATTAAAAAAATATATATAGGTAGATTGAAATGTGACCATAAAATTAAATTTAATAATCATTAACGAATATATTTTCTTGCTTTACTATAAATAAAAAATCACTACTCTTCAACTCAGGACCCAATAATTAATATGGATTGTCATGATAGACAATTACAGGTGGAGTGAGACAAATGACATCTTTAAATGTGAGACTCGCGAACTGACCGACCACTCCTAAAATTAATGAACAGAATACATTACATCAACAGAGTTATTATTACAAAAATATTCATACCCCACATATGAAGATGTGCTCCAACGACGGTTGAGTGCATGGATATTTTACCTAACATTAAATTTAAAAGAGTGGAGTTTGCTATGTAAAAAAACAGAGCGCGGAGGTATGAACCACACCACCTAATTAAAGGGCGATATTTACTCTTAGCTTTCCTCAATCTGCTAAACAGAACTTGGTTGGGTTGACTCTTCTATTTCACAATTTTCACTCTCTCTCTCATTGTAAATATAGTATATATTTATATATGACTTGTATTATATTATTCAATTTTAAGTTACATGAGGTGTCACTATATAATTGGTTATTAAATTTATTTAAATTCATTTAAGTTTGCTGTAGGAAAAGATGGGCTTTTTATTATGAAGTGGCACCTTTTTATGAGAGGGGTAAAATAGACTTTTTTAATTTCTAAAAAGGGGTAAAATAGACCTTTTTTTTTTTAAATTTTCGGTGAGATGACTGGAAAAACCTTATCTGTCCTAAGACTACACCAATACCATAATTGAGGGGGGTTAGTTGCACATGGGGTATAGTTGAGGGAGGTTTATTGCACTTTACCCTATAATACCCTACTCACTCCTTGTGTGTTTCAATAACAATTTACAACTATAATGTAAAGGATAATACTTAACTGCCCACCGGTGAATAGTTTCACTCTACTCACTCTTCAATAATAATTTACCACATCAGCTTTAATAAAAAAATAATCCACATCCTCCTGTATTTTTTCGGATCAACTATTGAATAAAAGTGGGTTATTTTTTTTATTAAACTTGATATAATAGATTATTATTGGAACACAAAAAGGGTAAGTAGGGTGAAATTACTCACCGGTGAGTTTTTAAGCATTATCTTAATATAAAAACTAATAAGTCTTTGGGAGTCGTACCAGTGTTAAATGACATTATCGTAACACAGTTTGGACGCTTTATGGAATTCAGATGAGTCCCCACCGGAGTCTACGCTTGCTAGTCTAGCTATAAATAAGTAGCAACTATAGTTTGTAATACGTACCATGAATGTCAAATAAGCTGCCAATAGTACGTTTCCAAATTAAGATGAGGAGAAGACCAACCCAACTGGTTTTCTCTCCCTTCTTCTTTCTCTCAGCTCTAAGAATATTTTTGGTTACAGAAATGGCATTAATGAGTGAGAGCAGAACAAACACTCCAGTAAATGTAAATGTTGCAATTGGAGTTGTTCTTGACTTGAATAATAGTTGGAAAGGGCAGATGGGGTTGAGCTGTATCTCCATGGCTCTGTCGGACTTGTATCACTCTCATACTTACTACAAGACTAGGCTGGTCCTGCACACCAGGGACTCCAAGGATGACGTTGTTGTTGCAGCTTCAGCAGGTACCATGCATACTCCGTGTCTGATTACTCTTGCTGTGTGTGTATGTGTGTGTTTTATGGTTTGATCAATCTGTTGAACTGACCAAATAATTAATGGGTTTAGTAAATATCATCCTATAAGCACAATTATATATATATATATATATAATAGCTGTGATTATTGTTGGGTTCTTATGGTTTTTAGAAAGAGTTAAAGAGGTACTTCTTAATTGGGTAGCCTTTGCAAGTATCTCTTCTTTCTTTTGTGTCCTCCACTGAGTCTCTATAATCACCAATAATTTTCTTCCTGGTCTTGTCAACATGGCCTGTACCACGAGCCAACCAAATGGCTCCCATCCGTCCAATCTTTTGTTTTTGGACAAATTACAATGACCTCCCCTGAAGTTTGACCTAATTATAATTAAATATGAGGATTGCCTTTTTCTTGCAATGTGTCCTCTTAAGGTTTGCTATTTTTGCAAAGACCTCCCCTTTGTACATAATTCAATCATTTTTGCCAAAAAATTTATTTGAAGTTACTAAAATGCCCATCAACTAAGTTTAAAAGACCCTATTACCCTTATAAACTATGGAATAACAAAAAAAAAAAAAGACATATGCATGAGTGGACCAAACTATCCCTTAATTAGGTTTGTTTCACAATAGTAAATTAATACCTTTAAAACAAGGGCCACCACCACTCCACTGGCAACCACCATTTACTGCCAAACAAACCCACCTAAAAACCAATCCCACAATCAGATACCTCATATCTCCCGTAACCATTCCTTCATGGTACAATCAGTGACGGAGCCAGGATTTCAAGTGAGGGGGTGCACACTGCCAAAAAAAAAAAAAATAGTACGGAGTATATATATATAACAACTATAAAATTCAAAAAGACAAAGAAGAAGAAAATTATTAAAATATAAAAGGAAAGAAAAATGAAAGAACTTTAATAAGAAATAGTTAAAAAGTTTCAATTGAGAAAGAAAAATTTGACTTTTTCTATTAAGGAAATTTAAGGAATGTGAGAGTAAAAGAGAAAATAAAGAAAAAATAAGAATATAATTTTAGGAACTACAAATTTGAGGGGGGCACTATATAAATTTTTTCATATATATGGAATTTTTTAGGTTGTTGGCTAATTCAGGGGGGCACGTGCCCCCACTAGGCCTTCATTGGCTCCGTCCATGGGTACAATCTACAAAATGTCAATACAAACCCCAGATAAACAAAGTAGCTTATGTTCTTTTTGGAAATTAACAAAATAGCTTATGTTCGTGTAATGATATGTATGCTCACGGAAATAGTTAGCAAAATACGGTACAAAAAAAAATATGGAGACGTAATTGATACCCCAAGCACCTATTCTCACCGCAAAACTCAACTAGTAATACGAATACGTGCGTAAAAATTCGGGATAAAAAATTCGACTATACACATCTTATTATTTTCTTATATATATATATATATATATTTGTAAGAACAATAAAGAATATGTAACAAATAATGAAATAAATATACTACAATGGACACTATCACAATAATCATAAAAAAAAATTCATAAGTATATAATGTGATATTCTACTAAAACATCTAGGGAGTGTGATGATGTATAAACTTCTAAAATAATAATAATAATAAAGATATTAACAAAATTTAAAAGATCTCACAACAAAACAAAAAATCTATAAATATCTACAAACATCAATAAAAACTTATGATTCTTCAATATTATAATGTTCCACAAATATATATATATATATATATATATATATATATATATATATATATATTTCATTGTTTTGATTAAAGATCATAATTGGAGTGACAATAATAAGAGATTGCACAACAAATAATATTATTTTAATGGTTTGAAAGATAATGGTTATACCAAACAAACGATGGTAGAAAACACAATAGTTTTGTTTCAGAAAAATACGCTATTAGAAACGTGAGGTTCGTAACAAAAAAAATAATAATTAGGTTACGAATTAAACGGAGCGACGGGGTGATGAAAAAAAACGTGTATTTTGCCAACTGCCAACAAGCTTATAAAAAACAAATTAGTCTTCCTTCCTCTACAACTTTTTCTCGTTAGTCAACATATATGTATATACATTTATATTCAATATTGTATCAATGTAATGATATATTGCATTAATTTTAGGGTTTGATTCTGATTAATTTTGAGAATAATTTTTTATTTTGTACATATCAATCAATATGGATACATTTGAGGTTTGATTGATCAATCTTGGAATTTTTGCTTTAGATCTGTAAATAGAATCTAAAATATTCAGAGTGAAAGAAAAGAGAGGAAGATATGGGTATATTGGAGGCTTTGATTATACATCATTTGTCTTTGTGTTGCTGGCGAACCACCACCACCCACCCGCCTATCTTTGTTTCTCGCTAATTCCCAATCTTGTTCCGGCGAAGAAAAGCCCCAAATCGAGACTTTTTCTTCATGGGGTTTGCATAAATGACCATAGGCGACGACACCAACACCATCACAACCACCGACGACACCATTACTCTCAAGGCACTTCATGTCCCTTTCTCCATCGCCATCCCTGACAACGTCACATGCGACCACACCCACTATCGGTCTCAAAACACATGCGCGTCCCTCTTTCCATCACCGCCGTCTGGTCCATCGTCCCAATCTCCGTCTGGTCCGCCGTTTCAACAACCCCAGGCTTAGTGAATGTTATTGGGCAAAAGGGTCCTTTGCTATTTCTAAATATTTTGATTATTTTTAATAATATAATAATAAGGGCAGATGAGTAAATTTATCATAAAATCTGACATTGGGGGGTCTTTGCGAAAAAATGGCAAACTTCATGTTTACTTGCAATTAGTCTAAACATCAGGGAGGTCATTGTAGTTTGCCCTTTGTTTTTTGGTAAGTAAAAGAATAAAAAAAGGATTTTTTTTTTTTTTTTGGTACAAAATGCATTATACACACATGAAAATACCATAAAAAATTAGATATATTATACTTATCATTCCTAAACTAGTTGAAAATACTAAATTGGGGAGGTGATTGATTTTTACCTCTTTGAAGACCTCTATTATGTCTTGAATTTTCTCCCTTTATTTGTCAAAGTAGGAGGGTTCATTGAGACGTTGAGAAAAAGACGCTCTTAGCTTATAAACTGTCTCAAGGTTAGGAGTAGACGAAGAAGCTTATAAACTGTCTCAAGGTTAAGAGTAGACGAAGAAGTGACTTCATCTTCAACTCCTTTAGAGCTTGATGGAGCAGTATTTAAGGGAACACCTTTGGGATGTGGAATGGGAATGATCGGATTAATGAGAATTTTATGCCTTTCTATTCGCTTTAAGATCAGTAAGAACATTGAGTACTTGATCATCGAAAGCGGAATATGGATTATACCCTGGTTTGGAGGCAGAATTTCTAGGTTGATCGTTAAAAAAGTCAAAAGTCAACTAATTTAAAAAATATAATGCCAGAACTACCCTCCCCCAATTTAAATCGTTTTAATTTGGACACAGATATCAACCTAAATTAACTTAGATATATCATTTTAATTTAGGCATAAGTCATAAATCAAAGAAGTGCAGGTACCATATGTGTAAGAAGCTGAAATATACCCATGATTGGGCATCTCACAAAAAATATGAAAAACAAACATCTAGTGTTTCCAATCTAGTACTTTCAATTTCTTCTTTAAATCAATCCAATAATATTATTATGATATTAATTAATATTATGAATATATATATTTTTAAATCAATCCAATGAAATTATTATGAAATTGATTTTGAGTCATGGCACACAATTTAACTGATTAAGCCAACAATATAAATCGACTACAATATGATTACTTAATATATTTTATATAATGTTCATAATATGATATATTTTTTCTCTATTTATTTCTTTCTTCTTTTTTCCTTTTCCACTACCTTCATCTTATAAATTGAATTGATTGGAAATACTAAAACATTAGTCAACATGAAACATATAATTAACTTTACCAATCATATGCCTCAATTAAACATCCAACAATATGTTATTATAATTTCACAATATTTTTAATATACGCCACAATTAAACATGCAACTCAATAGAAAATGAAATAAAAAAAGTCAAGGTTCACATCATCTATAGTCTAGTTGGTCTCAAAATCATTTATGGCATCATACATCTCATTTTCACTAGTTAAGGGTAGTTTTGGCATTATATTTTTTTAATTAGTTGACTTTTGACTTTTTAAATGGTCAATTAACGAAATGAGAGTGTTTGAGCAAAGTTAATCAAAACATGAGAGGAGGTTTGTACTTTTTTTTTTCACTAGTTTAATCTGTGAGTAATAAAGACAAAGTTGAGGAGGTGTCATAACATTTAACTTAAAAAATTCACAGGAGAAATCAATGTAATTTAGCTCACTATCTTTCATACAAGGGAAAGACAAAATTTATAAATTTTGTTCTAATAATTATGTCCAAAGAAAACGTTAGTGGTATTGTTGAGCAAGAGGAGGTTGGTATAAGCCCTCCTCCGAATGAGGAGGTTGGTGTTTGACCTAAGTGAGCTTAACCTTCCAAAAAAAAAAACAAAAAAAAAAAGCAAACAGCACAAGGACTAGCAAAATCCACTAAACCCCAGCTCAAATACAAATAAAATATTCATCCCAAAACAGAATCCAAGCCCAACTCACAAGCAGTAACTGGAATAACTCACAAGACGGGACCATCAACAGAGCTAGGGCATAACCCACATTCAAATTTGCAGAGCTTCGATCGATTAGCTAGTGGGCTACCGTTCCAAGACATAGAAAAGGTTTGTGTTTGAGGGTTCGAAGAAAGATGGTGGGATATTCCAAGTATTTGCAATTTCCTTTGCATGAGGACAAGTATGGCGCGGAACAGAGAAGAGTCGATTGCGAGCAGACTCGCATGTGTGATTTAGGGTTTTCAAATGATGCCATTTTTCTGTTTCCAGATATGATATACAAAGCTGGATATAAGGTAAAGCTTCCAAACTAAGAACTTGCTCGATTTTTTTTTTCTTATTTCTCCAATTCGGTGAAGCCCAGATTCCTCATATTTGTGTGAAATCCACATTTATATCTTTGTGCATACGAAATGTGTTAATATTGTTCACACTGGTGGAACAAATGGTTGTGTGACTCTGGAGCTTCGAGGCAGATGACACAAACATTAGGCTGCATTAGATACTTGATGCTTGGTTTCTCTTTGGTTCGAAGCTTTTCTTATATGTACGGATAACCAAAGGCAAAATGAGCGTTTAGGGATGTTTTTGCTGAATTGAACCATACAAGATGGTGCCAATAAACTTGGGGTTGGGGTAGGTTTTTAATGTAACAGACTCCGCTAGAGGACAGTATTCATTCGTAAGGCGGATTGCCTATGTCTTATGGCATGGATTGCTTATATTAGTCTATTCCTCGTGTGCGGGAAATGTAGCTAACTTTCTAGGCCAAGCCCGTTGCCCATTTGAAATGATGGATGATACCTTTGCATACCTGTTGATTCCTCCAGCATTGTCTAGAGTTTAGAGTTATAGCCTGGATGAGGGGACCCCATGGTAACCATTGATGTCCCAGAAGCTTCTTCCTTTGATCAGATGCTTATGCGCCCATTCCACCCACATGTTGTTTGGTTCAGAAAATAGAAGCCAGACGTGCTTGATAACTGCAGCTCTATTCCATGTACCAATGCTAGCAATTACCAGTCCACCCTCAATTCCCGGTTGGTCTAAACTTGTGATGGTTAACAGAAAAATAGAACAAGAGGCTTCTGATAATTGGGAAGTTTTTTTTCTTTTTCTTTTTTCAACAGTCGGAATGTTGAAGAGACTAATTAACAATTGATTGTGGTTTTCATAATTAAACTGGTAACAATTAATTCAACAAGCTCCTATCTGCTCGCTTATCCAAAATAAAAATAAAAAATATTTCAAGAAGTGGTTGCTCTGAAACTCTAATTTACACCAATAACACTGATGTTCAAGTGTTAAACTGCTCAACAAGACAATTTTAATTAAGTCCTTGACCTTGGTCTATGAAGGGATTGCCTCAATAACTGAACAATGATCTCTAAGAGGCCAAAGTAGTCTTCAGAATTTTTAGCTTGTAATTGTGGACACATTTAAACTTTCCAAAATTATTATACTTATATGATCCATTATATATGTGTCTTAACATAATGGTATAAATTTAGGAGCCACATGAATTGAGATAAGTAATTAGAAGAATGGGCTTCAAAAAATAAATTCAGAAAAAAGGTAGTTACTCAGAAGTAGAGGGAATTTTTGTGTCTGACCTAGGTATAAAAATTATTTTGGGGTGGTTATCATATATATATGTTGTGTAATCAGGCGTGACTATTTATATACCTTACAAAAAAAAAAAATGGATTGTGTTGTTTAAACAGTGAAGTCAGTATTAGCTTAAAGATATCCCTAGCTTGGGGTTAGGATCATTAGAATTCACAGAAAAGTCCTGCTTTACGCAACACTGTAGGGATGTTAGTTCCCCTTATCAAATCAATATGTATAATTGTGAAAGACGTTTGATGTGTTAGTGCTTGTAGAAGCACTTAGCTGCTTCTTTTTTTAAGGTAAATGCTCGCACACTCACAATTATTCACTATAAAACTTGAACTCCTCACCTTAAAAAGGAGAGGTTATTTCAACTCGGCTAATGGCCTAGTGATTTTGCTCACCTCCTCTTCGACGAAAGAGAGGTTTTACCAATTGGCTAATGACCTAGTGGTAATGTAGAAGTACTTTGATAAAGAGCCAATGCTACAATATATTTCTATTTTCAGTTCTGTTTTTAAAACTTGCAAGACATGCTCTCACTGTCCTAAGTTTAATCTGTTCCTTGATTTTCTTGTCAATCATGATTAGCTAGATGCAGCCACTTATTCATCCAGCTGTGAAATATAAGAGAACAATAGTATTTGATTTTGACTAGGTTTGTTTTGACCTGATAGTAACTTGGGCTTCAGTTTTCACCACTACCTACCGAAACAAATTAGGTGAGATAGAGGGAGTATAACTTCTGGCTGCAACATTCAGACTGGATTTACTTCTCTTTCTTTATATATCTTACATATGTGTACGGACTATGAATGAAGTCAAGTCAGTATACAACGTGACCCGTGTATGTTACCAATTAATAAAAGTATGGGGTCATTACATAAACTGTAATTGAGCTCTCATATGTTTTTGTCCAAGATTGAGGGATGGGTCACACAAAACTGGCTTCGTACCTCGGTGATTTATGGTAATTTTTACCAGTTTTAAGTGTTTATATTGGATCAGAGTCAGACAAAGCACATAAGAAAGGCACCACGTGATACTAAAAAATATTGAGTACCCGGGGTATGGGGTACCAACCCCAGCCAATGATGAATATTATTTTCTATTATTAAGGTAAATAATGAGTATCTATTGGTCTGATCGGTACCCCGGAATACCCAATATTTTTTCATCCATTAGAGACTGTATATGTATAAATATATAAAAATAGAAAAAGAAGGATTACTTCCTTTACAATAGCTGTAGATGAAAAATAAAGTTTTGTCGATGCCCGGCCAACGAGATCAGTGAGATCCATGAACTTGAGTTTAATAAGCAGTGTTCAAGCACTCAAACTCAAGCCGAATTAGATTTAAAAGCTGAACTTGATTACAACCTTACTAGCAACAATTACAACAGTTCAAAAATTGTCACTCAACACACATACCTATCCATTTATTTATTAATTCAAAAAAATTCAACTTCTAGTTAGAAATTGACAATAGTGGAATTCAAGTTGGAGCAGCTATATACACTTTGGAAGAAAGACATAAATGAACTGGCCAGTTCAACTATGAATTGTCAGTCAACTGTTTGATAGTCTGTTAAATAATGCAAGTCGTGACATCTTTGAAATATATACTTATAAATACCTCTGGCTAATAAATCTTTGATCATCTTCTCTGATGCATGCATTAATTTAATTCAGAGCTTTATTGATTATTCCATCTTATTGCATGCATGATGCAGCTTTGGACCTCCTAAAAAATGTGCAAGTGCAAGCCATCATAGGGCCAGCAACATCCATGCAGGCGGACTTTGTTATTGATCTTGGAGACAAAGCTCAAGTGCCGATTATTTCATTCTCAGCAACAAATCCTTCCCTCTCATCCTCCTGGACTCCATACTTTGTTCGCGCTACCCAAAGCGACTCATCCCAAACAAAGGCCATAAGTGCAATTGTCAAAGCTCATGGATGGAGAGAAGCTGTGCTCGTTTACGTAGACAATGATTTTGGAGAGGGGATCATACCATTTCTGACTGATGCCTTGCAAGAGATCAACACTCGTGTCCCCTACCGGAGTGTCATCCCACCCAGGGCCACAGATGATCAAATTGCGGCAGAGCTCTACAAATTGATGACTATGCCCACTAGAGTCTTCATTGTGCACATGTTGCACCCTCTAGGCTCTCGGCTTTTCACCAAAGCAAAAGAGGTTGGCATGATGAGTGACGGCTATGTTTGGATCATGACCAATGGAATAACCAATCTCTTGAGTTCATTGGACACTTCGGTGATTGATTCAATGCAAGGGGTGTTGGGTGTGAAACCTTATGTCCCAAGAACGAAAGAGCTTAAGAATTTTGAAGTTCGATTGAGAAGGAAGTTCCAACAAGAGAATCCAACCGTTCTTGATGCAAAACTCAGTGTTTTTGGACTATGGGCGTATGATGCTGCTACTGCACTAGCCATTGCAGCTGAGAAAGTATTTGGTGCTACCAACAGTACTAGTACTATTGGCTATCAAAAGGCAAACACTTCTGCAGGAAATTATACAGACCTTGAAACTTTTGGAGTTTCGCAACATGGTCCCATGCTTCTCAAAGAACTATTAGGTACTAAATTGAGAGGTCTTAGTGGAGATTTCCATATAGTTGATGGGCAGCTGCAATCATCAGCTTTTCAAATAGTTAATGTGATCGGTAATGGGGAAAAAGGGATCGGATTCTGGACACCAGGAAAAGGAATCACTAGAGAATGGAATTCCACCAGTACTTCAAGAAACAATCTTGGAACTATTATATGGCCAGGTGATACTACATCCCTTCCCAAGGGTTGGGTGATTCCGACAAATGAAAAGAAATTGAGAATAGGAGTTCCAGTAAAACATGGTTTTATTGAGTTTGTGAAAGTAGAACCAAATAATCAAACTAACACGACAAAGGTCACAGGGTTCTGCATAGATATCTTTGATGTCGTTATGGCATCGTTACCATATCCTGTTCCTTATGAATACATGCCTTTCATGAAGCCTGATGGTAGCTACAACGAACTGGTGCAACAAGTGTTTCTTGGGGTAACACTCTCTCTCTACTGGTTTTCCTTAATTTTTCTCACTAGCATGCATATAAGTTACGGTTATATATAGAACTGTGATTAATTATTCAAATTTTACAGAATCACCATTCTTTTGAGCGCCAAAAAAACAAAAAAAAATAAAATAAAATAAAGAAGACACAATTTGATAAAATGACAAAAAGTTGGTCATTCATGGGAATCTGTTTTCCATGAAAAAGGTTGTCTAGACATCAACCACTCGCACAACATATATATATATATATATATATCTCGCACAATTAACTGGTCTCTGCAGAAAGTTTTATTCTATTCATGTATTGCTGATTTTTTCACTCGTATATTGTGAAAATTTTGTCTGGGTAATGGACAGATCTATGATGCCGTGGTAGGAGATATTACCGTTATTGCGAACAGGTCGCAGTTTGTGGATTACACCCTGCCATATATTGAGTCTGGCATATCATTGGTCGTACCAATCAAAGACAACAAGAGAAAAAATGCTTGGGTGTTCTTGAAGCCATTGACTTGGGAGCTCTGGTTGATAACCTTTTGTTCATTTGTTTTCATTGGCTTTGTGATTTACGTTCTTGAACATCGAATTAATGAAGATTTCAGGGGGCCTCCTTCTCATCAAGTTGGCATGATCTTCTGGTTCTCCTTCTCCACCATGGTTTTTGCACATAGTAATTGATCTCTCTCCTCCCTCTTCAATTTACACATGCATGCAAGGTTTTATAATATATATATATATATATATATATATATATATATATATGTAAATAGGCCTTTGTAGCAATTAATTAAAGTTGTAAAGACACAACATGCTAGTTACACCAAATTGGCTGAGAAAAGCCTTTCACATATATATTAAGATGGGTGTGAGATTTCTATGGTTTTAAGAAGAAAAAAGATAAAGTTGTGGATCGGTTACAATTAATCCGATGTGGGAATGATTGAGGAGAGTGTATGTTATCTATTCCTGACAAAGAGTCATTTTAAGAAAAGCAACACTGCTACGGAAATTACACAACGTTCACAGGAGGTCATGACCAGGGCAAGTTAATGTGACAATACTCTCTGAATAATTTTAATAAATTTATTCCAAATGTCTTCTTTTCATATATATATATATATATTACTTCACATTAAAGTGTTTTTTTTTTCTTTTTTTCCCCCCAAAAGGTACTTCACATTAATGTTGATTCAACACTAACTTGTTTTGACAGAGGAGAAAGTGTTGAGCAACTTGGCTAGATTTGTGGTGATCATCTGGGTATTCGTGGTGCTCATTCTGACTCAAAGTTACACCGCGAGTCTAACATCGATGTTAACAGTTCAACACCTCCAACCTACAGTTACGAATATAAATGAGCTTGTAAAGAAAGGAGAGAGTGTGGGTTACCAAAAGGGTTCTTTCATATTGGAACTCCTAAAAAAGAACTTTGATGAGTCCAAACTGATGATTTACAACACTTCAGAGGAATTGCATGAACTTTTCAAGAAAGGTAGTGGAAATGGAGGTATTGCAGCTGCTGTTGATGAATTCCCCTACATGAAGCTGTTTCTTAGAAAGTACTGCTCGAAATATACCATGGTGCAACCAACGAACAAGACTGATGGTTTCGGCTTTGTATGTAATCTCTCATTGTCTCCGCGCGTATCTTTCTCTTTCACACACACTCGCACACAAAACACACCCATGCATTAGTGCTTGAAATCTTAAATACATGTTAATTCTTCTATTTTGCAACTTGAAGGTCTTTCCAATAGGTTCTCCTCTGATACCTGATGTTTCACGAGCAATCTTAAAAGTTACACAGGAAGATAAAATGGTAGAAATTGAGAGAAAATGGTTTGGCGATCAAAGCAGTTGTCCAGACCTGAACACTTTGATTTCTTCTGATAGTCTCGGTCTTGAGAGCTTTTGGGGCCTCTTCATCATTGCTGGAATTGCTTCGACTTCAGCTCTCATTGTACATATATCTTTGTTCCTTTACGAGCATAGGCATGTCCTGAGCCGCTTTGAGCCCAAAACTTCAATATGGAGAAAGATCACAGTGATGGTTAGATACTTTGATGAAAAAGACCTCTCCTCCCATACTTTCAGGAAAAGTGAATTGCGAGACAGAAATAGCAGTCACGGTGTGGATGGTATGAATGCTAATTGCCCACCAACTCCATCAAGCTTCTCTCTCCATGCATCTCCTCATCCTAATGGCCCTCCAAGTCCATCAAGCTTTTCCATCCACAAAGATGGCAACCCCTTCATGTGAGTATGGTGGTCTGAATCCAAATGGCCAAACAACTCGAGAGATGGTGCCAAATCAAAACCGGCCAAGGGCTTCAGTGTCTGCATATGCAAACCAGTAATGTTGGATTTTCTCATAGCTTTCATGATTTGTTGAAAATTTTAAAGATTTCAAAACTCATTATTTATTAGAACTTGTATTTGAATAGCTTTGTAACTCTTATTATTATTATTATTATCACCTACCAAAAAATAAAAGAAAATAACTTTTAGAATTCAATCCCATCATGTTTAATTTGTTCTGCAATATAATTGCTGCTTCTTTCTTCAAAGTCCTTAGAAAGCTGATACGAAATAAAATTGGCAACACAATGTGTTTTCAAGTAAATCAGTGGGATTTTGATCTATGAAAACTGTAGTCTAAATACAAGTATATGCAGAACCATCTACACACACATGAAGATATATACGATCAAGTTCCCTAACAGAACAAGCTTAACTCTACAACTGGTTTAGAAGTAGAATCAAAGAGTATCAATAGAAGATTGTAAGTACTCATATATCCCTTATTTATAAGTTTACAACACTACAACACTGCTAAAAAAGTTATACACATTATTGTAACTACTATGGAACTACTAAAGCCACACCCATCACCATTTTCATTAACATATACGATAAGGGTGAACAAATATCCGAATCCACCAATGCGTGGGAACTATCTAACTCAGTTTTGGTCATATATTCTTAGAATGGAACTCCCTCTACTCATATCACAATCCGCAATCCTTTCTGCGTAACTGTTAAGTGGTACATATCAAATTCTTCACCAACACCTCCTCAGCAATGTCAGCTCCTTCTCCCTAGAAGCAAAATGGTGGCGGTTCTTTTACTCGAACTCCACAATATTCATCTGATGCCTTATGCTGTCCCATTTTCTATGTACCTACGTCTGCAGTTGCTAAAATCTTAACTGGAGGGGAAGCATGAGCAGAGATTGTTTGTTGATCTTGTTTTTCTGATTTGTTCTTCATTTACATGAAACGATCACCGCTATTGTCACCTGCATTACTTCATTTCCAAATTAAGGTTGGTGGAAAGCCCTTGTGAAAGTTAAAATAGCTGCGTATATATGCTCAAAGTGCATACCTTTTGCGTTTGCTCTTCAAGACCGTAGAAGTAGAAGTCGAAGCGTTGCTATGCCAATTCCTCTTCCTCTGATTGATGAACCAATTATTTATCTGCTTTAATTGCAAACCTGTCTCCTGTACCAATCTTGTCTTATCTTCCTCCTGAAAAGATTTATAAAACCACAGTGATTTGAACAGTAATTGTGTAAAAATTGACTTGGCTGCTCTTCTGATTAGCTTATCATAAGCTTTAAGAATTTTGCCCATTTAAGCCTAGTGCAAGCAGTTCCAAAATATAAAGCTAAACGGAAAACTTAGTTGCTTTCTAACATGAAGGAGATCACATGAGGGCAAACTGGTCCTAACATTCGAGAACAAGTCAAAAGCCACAAGCATCATTTACAAGGTTCAACTTACCATTGAAAGGCAAAATTAGTTGAGCTTCACACTCAAGATATCAGACATTATGCAAAGGAGTGATGAGCCGACACTTACTGTTGGGTAAGGCCACTTTGAATGTGTTTGCCACCAGGTTTTTAAGACAGAGGTGGTATCGCCAGGTAATTTTCCTGCCCTTCTCTTGCGCAAAATTTCTTCCCTAATGTCCACAAGTTTCTCCTTGTAACCCTATAGAAAAAAGAGTATGTTGATGACACTACCATATATGTACAAGAAGTCCACAGTCAAATATTTACTTGCTCACCTGTTTCAGTTCATGCTTTAGCTCTTGCCTTACTCGCTCCATCAAGGATCTCTCACTCTCTGTCGGGACAAGAGGACCGAATCCCATGTTGTCAGAACCCTCCAAACTTCCATCAAACAAGTTCATATCACTGTCTACTTGGTCATCATCATCGGACATTGTTGCTCCGGTGCCTTCTCCAGGAGAGACTCCTGTTCATGTAGCATGTGATAGCAGAATTTGTTTTAGTATTTCAAGCAAATGCATAAATTTTACCAGGGTCAACTGGTCGATCCAATTTTAGTTTTTTACTTATTATTATTATTATTATTATTATTATTATTATTATTATTCCCTTTTTTTAGTGCTAGACGAAATTGTTTATCACAAAAGGAAAGAAGTACCAAGGTATTCTTCAGAATCCATGGAAAAGATTGTTTAAGAAAAACCCAAAGAATCCAGAATAGATAATTAATCGTATATTCATTACAATAAAAACCACTGAGGAAGGTTCCCATTGGTCATACAAAAATTGATTACAAATAGAACAGTTGAGAAAATGAACTTTTTAAACAGACTACAAAAAAAATATGATGTACAAAAAATTATGCAGGTGTCGATAGGCAAAATATTTGAGAATCACAGTTACAGTAGATACAGGTGCTCCACGTCCAAATGTCATCAGCCATTAAAAATGAAAGGTTCCCAAACAAAGAGACAATATGCAAAATAATATTTTTAGAGCAATCTAAAAGTTCTCCATAATTTTTTTTTTTTTTTATACAAATCAAGAAAAGGGATTGCTTCATAGAAATAGTTTCAGGGTGAAGAGATATTTTTGAAAAGTTAATTTTATCTAGGATGTGATATATTAAATGTGAAATCTGTCTTCAAGCAAGTTTAGCAGTAAATGTCTATTAGTTGTGAACCGATGAAGTATTCTCGTGCATACATGAGATGCATGGAAAAACACATGAAGAACACAAGAACTTCAGCATTATCCCATAATTTCTCACAGCATCTATCCATTCACTCAATTCAGCCACAAACTGGTTCTCTAAGTGTTTGATCATTAATCATTGTTTATCGATATATTTTTCCAATTTTCCTTGTTTTCTACTCCTGCTGCAGAAATTTGAAGCCTTATACCATTCTCTGGGTAATATAGTTGCTGTTTTCTCCACACAAAGTGGAATTGGTGTTGCTTATACAGCAATGTGAGAATTTAATGTATGGGGTCAATACACTTCCACGCCATGAAAGAGAATACTTTTGGCTTACGGTCTTTGGATTCAAATAACAAGTGATTAGAGGACCTCAATAAACTGAACCAGAAAAGAAAGATGACATTGAAGTATTAAAATAATAAAATTTAAGAATTATATGAATATGATCAAGCAATAGAAAGTACTAACTGAAGTACAAGGACCAATAATTGAATATCCATGAGACCTTAAGCTTAATGGGGTATTATTGAATATAGTTATGATGACAATATTGCAGAAGTCACCTGTCAGCAAAAAAATGTCGGAGAAGTCAATGAAGGGCAATACTTTTCTGACTGAAGCTGAGGGGAAAACTAAGTCTTGGAAATGCTTTGCGTTAGATACGGAGGAAATTCGTAAAATAATTGGAAACTTACAAATATTTATTCTTGGCTGAAGGAAATAAAATTGTTTTAATCTTAATTTGAGAGTATTCTTCCTTAAAAGAAAATTATCATTATTTACTAAAGAATGTAAAATACAGTAATACACCACACCTCAACTGAGGTAAGTACACCACCAAACCACGTAAACTTTTGTTGGAGATTATTCGTGTCATTTCTCTAATGCTTACATGTTTACATCACCTATAATTTCATATTTACCAATTGACGAGTGGGGAGATGTAGGGCGCCCCTATTTCTTAATCATGAATTGAAAAAAAAAAACTTTCGAAAAGAATTTAGAAACGTTTAACATAGATTTGTGGAATAGAAGGAGAAGCATAAATTTTGCATCTTTCCCAGATTTTAAAACAGCAGCTAATAGTATAATTGCATACTTAAAAACACCTGATAAACCAAATTTGCATTGTGCCATGGATAGAATTATTTTCTCATAAATTGAATTACTTATGTATCTCGTTTCACTACAAGTGATTCAGGACTTGAAATTCCTTGTCGTCAATCAAGAACTGAATTTTTTCAAGGACCACATCATCAATTACAGAGTTTCTTTTTTTGTTGATTTAACAAGGGTGGTTTTCATTCACTAAAAAGAAAAGCACACAAACTGCATGTTACAGCAAGATCAAGCACGAGGAGTCACAAAAACTAAAGACCCCAATATAGTAAGTAAATAATACCTCGAGTAGTTTCAAACAGTTAAGAAAATGGTATGACTATCAACATTATTAGGCTTCAAAAGCAATGAAGCAAGTAAAATTTCAGGAGAAAAAAGGATTGGAACATACTATTTTCCAAGACAAGTACACAACATTTGTTAGGAGAAAAAGAAAGCAAACTTTGTTAAAAAAAAAAAAAAAAAAAATTCTGGAAAGGTACAATAATGAAAAATTACCTGTTAGGCTCTGCAGTGATTGCTCAATCTCCCAGCAAGCCATTACTGCTTCCATTGCATGAACACGGACATGTTGTTGCAATTGTTCTTTAAAAGAATACAACAACAGAACGTAATGTGTCTACATTACAAAGAGAGGAGAAACAAAAAAAAAATATATTAGGGACTTTCATCCAAGTCATATTTTTTATTTTAATGTCGAACACATTTTCTAGTAAAATAACACTTTAAATAAGGCACATTCACCTTAAGAAAAAGACAGAGGTATATAGATTAGGTGTATGGGAAGACATGAAGCCTCATAAGCATAGAGAATTGAATCATTCTTGTAGGAATTGAGATCATACAGTCCACAGAATGTTCTCATTTCAACAAAAAATCAATAGTTTAAACAAAGATATTCCTTTTTGTTCCATCCAAAATTTCTTCCCAAAAAAAAAAAAAAAAAAAAAAGATCCCAGACCTCTTCCCCTATCTACTTATTCATTGTCGTGTATCATAATAACCGAGATTCAGGTGCTGGACCTTCCCTTCCAAATAATGAAGAGAACTAGTATGATGAAAATGTATGATTTCCAACAGAATTACTTGATACGCATCCACATGTACTCCAAAGCAAAAGCAGTACGTTTTCATTCAACAACTCAAAGAAGCTAACTAATGACTTCAGGTGTATAAGCTTTTAAAAGAGATTAAAACCTTAAAAGCTAGAATGAATCCATTTTTGCTTATCTATATAAAATTCAAACAATTTTTAACTACTAAAAATCACCTTCAATTTCATCACAGAAACAATATTTATGGTTGAATATCTAATTAAGACCAAATGCAGAGAAAAACGCCATGTTTTGTTATTTTGAAAATGACATCATTGCAGCAGAACTATTTTCTTCTTCGCACATCTCAACTTTGACTTCCTTTCGATGAAAGTCAGATTCATTCAAAAGGTTCTTCTTCCTACCGTCATCTTTTATAGCTAGAAGCATTTATTCTTTCATGGGGATCTCCAACATCAGAGGATCACTTTATTGTCCTTACTTATGGAGTTGGTCTATTGTTGCATAATATGCAAAACTTCCTTCTATATGCTGTTGCAGCCTGCAATCCCTCTCATAATATTTCTTTGCTCAAAATTTTGCCTCCCCCATATTCCAAATACAGAACAAATATTCTGTCAACAATATGGTAAAGGTTTTCTACATCATCAGCACTCAAAGCAAAGAACCAACATTGAACATAATATCACTGACCTGAACATCCAATCGATAAGTACTCGTTACCTAATAGCAATCAGAGCACCTACATAAAAATTCAGTACGACAAGAATCACGGTTTTGACTAATGAATTACCCCTACCTAACTATATGTCGCCGTAACCAATAGGCACTAACCTAGATGACATAAGCTCTCCCTCCCGAAGGAGAGGTTGAGTGTTCAAGTCCCGGTAGGGACAAACAGTCAGTCCTGATGTCCCAAAACAGACCCATTCCCGTGCAAATTATTGGAAAAAGCCAACGCCACAGGTTTTCCCTCAATTTAAACTACATACAATTTTCAGAGGATGCATTTAGAATATATATATATATATATCACATTATATTCTGTCATCCCTTGCAGAGAATTCAGCTGATGAATCAATTTCATTTAACCAGTGTAAAGATACCCTCTCCAAGCAAAGGCAGTTCTTTAACAATCTATATATATCAATATCCATTAACCCTAAGAACAAAGAGACAAAATTGGAAAGCATTTATGCATAAAGCAAACTTCTGCATAACTGTACAAATACCACAATAGCCTTTAATTTCCACAATCAGTACATAGTACGCACACCCTTCCCCATAAATTCCTCTTCAGTTTCATAAATACTACGGATTAACAGGCTCAATTAATAACACCAATGTGAACAACAACAACAACACAATATCATGAAATGAATAAGAAGGAGGAGCATTTAGGCAACAATGTATATATATATAAACATATATGTATGTATAGTATAAAACAGAGCACAAAAGCTTACCATGAACTGATCAAGCTCCTTACCATCAGCAGGATTACCATGTCCGATAGCAGAATACTTGGATACAACATGCCGTGACTGGGCGAGCTGAGCATCGATCCTTGGCAACTGATCGACCGGCGTCGCGATACGCAAACACGCTATATGCGCAGATAACAACTGTTCGTATAGCGGATGGGCCAACATTTCAGCTTTGTACCTTGCATTATGCCAATTCAACACTCCATCACCGTCACTACTGGTGGCGCCACCGATCTCGCTCTCCGCCAACTCTCCTCCGCCACTATTGTGCACCTGATTGCTACCGATATTCCTATTGTTATCGTTGTTCAAGTCGGCCGATTCGTGCGATATCGCCGCGGCGATCATCGAATCGTTGGAAACCTGAACGCTGTCGCGAGCATCGCTGACGCTTCGCTGAAGAATCGACCTCGAGAGCCACTGATTCGACGCTTGCGAAGTCGCCGGCTCGGAATTCATGTGCAGATTGAGGAAATTACCCTCGCCGTACTGGTTCTGTTGCCGGAGAATCGCGCTGTTGATCCACGTCGGACCGACACCGCTGACTTGCGGTGGTTGATGCGGGGAGTTGTGGTGGTCCGGCGGTGTCCCGGCGGACTCGAAGATGAGTCTCTGTATGTCCTTGTGGTCCCTTCCGGCACCATTCGGCGAAGATTGACCGAGCTGTTCCGGCAATATAGCCCGTAGAATTGAAGTGTTTTCACCTAAGTGTTGGTCCGAGAAATGTTGTAACGCCATTTCTTGTGAGAGGTGGTTGGGAAACGCCATTGACGAAATAGCTAGTCTCACAAATATATATATATACACTCTCAACGCCTATACATATGTAGACTGGCTAGAGAAAGAAACAACAAAGAAAAATGCAAGTTATAGAGAGCTACAATCTGTCACTACTTGCTAAATTACTTCAAAACAATTCTACTCCGGTGTTGAACACACGAGCAATATAGAGAGAGAAATTGAATTCGAAAAGAATTACCGACATATATATATATATATAGGGATTGTCTCTCTCTATATCTATATATTTGTGTGTTTGTGTCGTGGGAGGAAGAGAATATGAGATGCTATAAGATATGGTACTTCAAATTCATAGGAAGAGAGATAGAGGAGTGGTTTTTAGAGAAAGTATACTACATGAACATGATACCACTCTCTCAGATGTCGGGTGGTTTTCAGGGGTCGGGAAACCGCTTCTTCTAAATTGGCAGACATGGAAATGCAAGGCTATTTTGAGCGTGGATTTATGAGGTTTGGGGTCGTTGGATGCGAGGTGGGTTTAATCTGATCGGACGGTAGAGAGATTGTCAACGTGGATAAATTGTTGAGTGGAGGGACAAACATGGACATGGTCACGGTTGGACCACGTGATAGTGATGCCCTATGAGAATTGAACACATTATTAACTATAGCATTAGCAACTAAAATTAGTAACACACAAAACCACCAATGACTAAATGACATTATGCCTTTCGAAGTAAAAGTTTAGCAATAAACAAATTAGATTAGGCGTCGCTCTTCACGTTAACAATGATTTAAGAACCAATATAAAATGTGTGGTTCTCATCCATTATGTCTTGTGTTTGTTTAATGAAGAGGAAAATGATGGATTGCAAGGGTGAAAGAGAGATAGCCAAATAGTGTTTTAAATTATTATTTTTTTTTTTAAAGTTAGGGGAATTGATAATAAAAAAATAAAAATAAAAAAGAATAAGGGACGTGTTTGGTTTATTATTGTGTTGGCACCAAAACTTGGCAGCCATCTCAGCGATGACGTGAACCAACGAAAAGCTGATAAGTATTTTTAACATGGCGTCAAGGGAATCAGCCAGTTAAGAAATATCAGGAACAAGTATTGGAGAAAGTTATTCAGCCACTTCATTAACAAGGCAGTTGCTAAAATATAGCAACAAACATTTGACTTTATTCAAGTTGGGTTATCAACAGGAAAGGAAAGACTAAAGTTTTAAGGAAATCAGACAACTGATAGGAATTCTAGTTGGATGGAACAAGGAAAAATACAAAAGGCAGCCGCGTCATAAATATAAAAGCGATAAATGGCTTTTGGGCAATTTAAAGGAAGAAACGGTGACCAAGTATAAGGAAAGAAGTTGCTAAAAATTAGCAACTTTCCAGCAACTTTTCAGCAATTCCACAACTTGCATTTGATTGGATCAAAGAGAGATTTCAGTAAAGACTTTCCCATTGAAAATGGAGCATCGATATTGAAGGCGAGGAATGTTGGGCCGTAGCTCAGTTTGAATTTCAAAAGAAAATGATTGAAGCAAAAGAGATTTTCTAGCAATTAATTAGGAAAATAAGTTGAGATAGAACTTCTATAAATAGAAGTATTGTATTCCATTTCCAATTTGTCCAGTACCACCACAAAACATGCATTTCAACTAAAAATGTTTTCAATTGACTCTACGTCATTTTTTCCTATCAATTTCTTTATTTCAATTTAATGGCAATTGATTAGATCATTGTCAACTATTTCAATTCAGCCATTTACTTTCTTTCAATTTCAATTATGTCAATTTTAATTACGCAATTTTAGTTAGGCTTTCAATTTAATGGCAATTGATTAAATTCTTGCCATTGAATCGTGGTGACAATTGATTAAATTCTTGTCATTACTTGGCTGATGGCAATTGATTAAATTCTTGCTATCACGTTTCAGTGGCGATCGATTAAATTCTTGCCATTGTGTTTGGCTGATGGCGATTGATTAAGTTCTCGCCATCACGTTCGGCCGGCGATCGATTAAGTTCTTGCCGCCTGTCTTCACTCGGCCATTCCATCCATTCAAACATTCATCAGTCGTTGCATTTCTTTAGACACTCTAAAAAGTCCTTACTACAAACAAGGCATAAAAGAACCTTGCTGGGAGTTCTTACTAGTCTCTCTCCCACACAATCGCTTGAGAGTCAGCCATCGGAAAAAGGGATAGGCTGGTGTTCAATTACATATTTTGGGTATTTTGTACAAATACTTTGGCACGCCCGCGAAGAGTCCATCGACCGGCGTAGGGAACAAAAACCGCGCGAACACGTTTTGGCACGCCCGGTGGGACCACTACTAGAGTGTTATAAAAGAGGCAAATATGCCGCGGCCCACAAAAAATTCTAAGGCCGTGGCTACTGATGAAGATTTGGAGGAAGGCGATCAGCCAGTACAGGCTGAGAACTCTACAGCAGGTCCTACTAATGAGTTAGCCGTACTTCAGGCACAGGTTAGCTCCTTGGTAGATGCAATGGGAAGGATGGGAGCACGCTACAACGACTTGCATGAAAATATGTCCCAACTCTCAGCCTTTATTTTGAACAAGCCGACTCAAGCTAGCAGCTCCAACAATTAGGAATCGGCTTCTCAGCCGAATCTATCCCAAGCTGCTCGGCCAGAGAGGGCCATTGAAACATCACAGCCATGGCCGCCAGTAGTGACACTCCAACCAGTTGCAACATCAAGTCAGCCGGTTCATATGATACTCACCTGGGCAGAAAGCTATCCTCAGCCTACGTTGGCAGGTTCTAATCAGCCACCAGTAGTAGGTTCGCAGCCACAGGTAATTCTACCAAACCCTCCTCGGATGCCTTTGAACTCGGGGGGCAATCAGATCAAGTGGAGGCCACCGAACCCACTGTATAATCATGTGCCGCCACAGGTAGGGCTCGGGGGGCAGAATATGGCTAATCAGCCACATGATTGGCTGAATTGCTATCAACCAGCGGCTAATCAGCCGCCAGTTTTTAATTACATACCACCAATATTAAATCAGCAACCTCAAGTCATGTTAGATAGAAGACAATTAGCTGATTTACTCACAGAAGAATATGGCCTGGAACTTAGAGGTGCCGGCCGACCAATTTATAGAACTCCTTATCCAGAAGTGGTAGACCAAGTTGAGTTCCCTAGAGGATATAAAGTCCCTGACTTTGTAACCTTTAGTGGAGAGGGGAATCAATCGACCGTGGAACACATTGGCCGATTCACGGTTCAATGTGGAGAGGCCAGTGTTAGCCCGTGGTTGAAATTGAGACTTTTTCCTAACTCTTTGACAGGGGCAGCTTTTTCATGGTATATTCGTCTACCTCCTAACTCTGTTTTTAATTGGCCACAGATGGAGGAATTATTCCACAATCAGTTCTACCGTACGGAGACAGAACCTACTCTGGCCGATTTATCCAGGCTAAGTCAATTGCCTAGTGAATCGGTCGAGACATTCATTGCAAGATTCAGGAGAGCAAGATTAAGATGTCGTGTACCTCTTCCAGAACAGGAGTACATTCGTTTGGCTTTGAACGACCTTGATTTTGAACTTCGGAAGAGGCTTGAAGGAGTTCCATTTTGTGACATGTATGACCTGGCCGAGAAAGCTACCAGGTATGAGTTGGTTCTCAAAGAGGAGAAAGAACGAAAAAATTCCTCTAAAGGTACGTACTATAGGGACCCCAACTATGAAGTTTATTCAACTGATGTGGTTGAAGAGGAAGATTTTGAAGCTAATTTAGCCGAAGTCATTCTAAAGAAACCTTATGTATGTGACGCTTTAACAAAACCAAATGTATCCACCAGTGGTACTCAGCCATCGACTTCATCGGCCAGGAAGGGTACGGCTGATACTGGTAAGGTTTATACGTTTGATCTGGCCAAAACAGAACAAATTTTTGATCATTTGTTGGCCGACAAACAAATCGTTTTGCCAAAAGGACACAATATACCATCGACCAATGATTTAAAAGGAAGAGAGTTCTGCAAATTTCATAATTCATGGAATCATACTACTAACAATTGTTATGTATTTAGAAATGTATTGCAGAAATCTATCGATGAAGGTGTATTGAAATTCCCTGAAAAGAAGCCAGATGTAATGAGGGTCGATGGCGATCCATTTCCTAATATTGTCAGTACCAATGTAATCAGCCTGGCAACTGAAAAAGCCGCTGATAATGGTAGACAGGAAAGATTACCAAAAGTTCTTGATAGTTCATCGGCCAGTAATGATGAGCAGAAAGTTAAGGACTTGGAAATTCAGTTAAGAGAAGCTCAAATTGCCCTCATCAACCATGGTTGTTGTCCAAATTATAAAGGCCAAAGGAATGACTTAGACAAGAGGGGCTATTTCCAATCAACCAGAAAGCGCAGTGTCCATGAAAGGTTAGGCCATCAGCCTAGACAGAATCACAAAGAAATCAATCGATCAATATTTAGAGAAAATGGGCCGAGGGCAGTGAGAATCATTCGGTCATCGGTGGCCGATAGAGTCCTGCCAGAACAACATTTTTATCCTAGTTTCAAAAGGAAACTAACAATTCAGTCAGAAATATGGGTTCAAAAAGGAGAAGAATCTAGCCGTGTAAGAACGGTTAGACCTCCTTTGGTTGACCATGGCAGATGGACTCGAGTAAGTCACCCAAAGTTTCCTAAACAGCCTCCTACACGTACCCAAAAAAGGAGGATGCAAAGGAAAAATGCAGAACTTAAAAGGAAAGAAGACAAGATCGACCATGATCAACTAGAAAGGAAAATTGAACCAGTGGTGGCTGAAGACATGGAGGTCGCTACATCCTTTGAAAATAAGGCATGCTTTTATGAAGAAAAAGATGATCAGCCAGACAAGGATCCAAAGCATGCGGCCAAGAACAGAATTCGTTTTGGTTCTCTCCCGAATTAGGTAAATTGTAACATGGTATTTGTTTTGCCTTCTGTGTTTGAAGCAAGGATAGAACCAACGGTGAACAGGGATGTTGAGTCAGCCAAGCAGGAGGAAAAGGCTGAATCTTCAGAAATTAAGAACGATTCGACAAGTTCATCGGCCGGGATAGGATTGATCTCTCAGGATCAGCCATCTAAGGCCGATAAAATCATTTTCGAAAAACCACCTTTGTCCATGACACAGCAGTTGAGGCCGTTGTATGTTAAAGTATGGGTTGAGGGTCAGCCAATCAATAGGGTTTTGGTTGACAATGGTTCGGTGGTGAATGTCATTCCATCAACTACTTTGAAGAAATTGGGTAAAACCATGGATGATGTAGTTCCAACCGACGTGGCCATCAGTGGTTTTAATGGAGGATCTAGTAACACCAAAGGTATTCTACCTTTGGAAATTACTATTGGCGGTAAGACATCCTTTACGGCTTTCTTTATCATTGATTCAATCGCGGCCTATAATCTCCTTTTAGGCCGAGATTGGATTCATCCTAACATGTGCATCCATCAACCTTGCATCAAATGTTGATTTTTTGGGACGGAAATGAGGTAAAAATTGTTGAGGCCGATAACAAACCCTTTATAGCTAGGGTGTATTCGGCTGAGGCTGCACTTTATGATGAAACTGTTGTACCTATCAAATTTGTTGGCATTAACAGGATGGGACGACCAGAGCAGCAACAATGAAGAAGAATTTAATTAATGCTGATATTAAAGAATTATTGTCAGAAGCAGCTCGGCCGAAAATTGATATTTTCAGGTCGACCATCAAAGACATTGAAGATGTTACTGATGGATCACAAAACCAATGAAGAAAAGAAGCGGCAAGCTTTCAGGGCCGCTTGCATCAGACTGAAAGCATATCTGGCTGAGAAGAGACTGGCCAGAGAAGAACAACTATATGAAGAGGTATCGGCCAGCACGGCCGATATAATTGAAGAAGGTTTCGAAAAGCTGGATGCAATCCAACTTGAAGATTTGGAGTCAGCCCCTTCGAGGATGGAAGATAATAAAGCAGAGGTGCAAGATCCTTTATTAGAAATAAATGTTGGTACTAAAAAAGATAATCGGCCATTATTTGTTAGTGCTTTGCTTGAGCCTAAATTCCAGGCCGATTTGATTAAATTATTAAATGAATATAAGGATTGCTTTGCTTGGAGTTATGAAGAGATGCCTGGCCTGTCTAGAAAATTGGTAGAACATAGATTACCGATCAAGAAAGATTTTCAGCCATATAAACAACCACCAAGAAGGATGTCTTCGGAAGTAATGCTCAAAATTAAAGAAGAAATTGAGAGACTTCTTAAGGCAGGATTTATTCGAACAGTTAGGTATGTTGAATGGCTCTCTAATGTTGTTCCGGTAATGAAGAAGAATGGCAAACTTTGAGTTTGTGTGGATTTTCGCAATTTAAATAATGCCACTCCAAAAGATGAATATCCAATGCCTGTGGCCGATCAACTTATTGATTCGGCCGCTAAGCATGAAATATTGTCTTTTATGGACGGCCATTCAGGTTATAATCAAATATATTTAGCCGAGGAAGATGTTCATAAAACGGCTTTTAGATGTCCTGGGTCAATTGGTACTTTTGAGTGGATTGTGATGCCATTTGGCCTAAAAAATGCTGGGGCTACTTATCAAAGGGCAATGAATTCTATCTTTCATGATATGATTGGCCGATTCATGGAAATTTATATAGATGATGTGGTTGTGAAATCATCGGCCAAGAGACAGCATTTGGAACACTTGAAAAGGGCCTTTGAAAGGATGAGGATTCACAAATTGAAAATGAACCCATTGAAGTGTGCATTTGGAGTTTCAGCCGGGAATTTCTTGGGGTTCTTGGTACATAAACGAGGTATTGAAGTTGATCAGAACAAGGTCAAAGCTATTATAAATGCTAGGGCCCCAGCCAACAAAAAACAAGTGCAAAGGTTCCTCGGCCAGGTAGGTTTTCTTAGAAGATTTATTTCTAACCATACTGGCCGAGTGCATGTCTTTTCGACTTTAGTGAAATTAAAGTCACATGAGAAATTTCATTGGGACGAATCCCATCAGAAGGCCTTTGACAAAATTAAAGAGTATTTGGCAAACCCCCCCGTTGTAATGCCTCCAAGAAAGAAGTGGCCGTTAAAGCTTTATTTATCGGTCGCAGAAGAATCAATTGGTAGTATGCTTGCACAAGACAATGAACATGGAAAGGAGCAGACTGTCTACTACCTGAGTAGAATACTAACTGATGTAGAATGCAGATATTCCTCAATTGAGAAGCTTTGTTTATCTTTGTACTATTCGGCCATGAAGTTGAGAGTATACATGCGGCCTGTTGATGTTTACATTCTTTGTTAGACTAACGTGATCAAGTATATGCTATCAAGGCCATTGATCACTGGCCGAATAGGTAAGTGGGCTTTGGCTTTGATGGAATTCAATTTTATCTACGTCTCACAAAAATCAGTAAAAGAAAGGGTTCTGGCTGATTTTTTGGCCGATCATCCTTCAACTGATATTGATCCATGGGTTTATGATGAATTGGAGTCATCAGCTATATTCTTGACTCTTTGGATCTTGATGTTTGATGGATCAAGCACGGCTGATGGAGCAGGAGCAGGTATTGTTATTATTTCGCCAGCTGGCAGAAAGGCTTCATTCTCTTTCTTTTTAGATTTTAAATGTTCAAATAATCAGGTCGAATATGAAGCGCTTATAATCGGCCTGGAGATTTTAATTGAAATGGCTGTTAGAGATGTAAAAATTTTGGGAGATTCAAACTTAGTCCTTAGCCAAATTTCTGAAGATTTTAAGTGCCTAAGTTGGCAATTAAGGCCGTTTCATTCTCTGGCCACTTCATTAATCAATCAATTTGATAATGTTCAACTTAAGTTTTGGCCGAGAGGGCAGAATAAGGAGGCCAACAGCATGGCCCAAGTAGCCTCAGGAATAAGAGTACCAGTCGGAATAGAAGATCAGTTGATAAAGATAACACGAAGATCTTTGCCATCGGCCGAATTGAGAAATACTATGTTTGATACTTGGACAATTGATGTAGAAGATTTGGCCGACGATGACTGGAGGATACCATTTATAATGTTCCTTCGAAATCCAAACATCAAGGCTGATAGAAGTATTAAAAGAAAAGCGATCAACTTTGTGCTTCTAGATGGGGATCTATACAGAAAAGGGTTAGAAGATGGACTCTTACTACAATGCATAAGCAAGGAGGAATCACTTCAGGTTATGGCCGAGGTACATGAGGGCAGCTGTGGGGCTCACCAAGCTGGGATTAAAATGAGATGGCTGATTCGCAGGTATGGATATTATTGGCCGAGAATGAGGAAAGATTGCATAGATTACTCAAAAGGTTGTCAAGCTTGTCAAAGACGCGGGCCGATTCAAAATGTACCAGCAAAAGAATTACAGCCAATAATCAAACTTTGGCCATTCAGAGGTTGGGGCCTTGACCTTATTGGTTAAATTAATCCACCATCAAGCGAAGGCCATCACTGGGTGATTGTTGCCACAGATTATTTTACTAAATGGGTTGAGGCCAAGGCTTGCAAAGCGGTTGATCAGCAAACAGTGATTAATTTCATGGAACAAAACATCATCCACAAATTTGGGATTCCAGAAACATTTGTTTCAGACAATGCAACAGTATTTAGGGTAACTGATGTACTACAATTCGGCCACAACATGAATATTCATATGTCAGCCTCTACGCCATACTATGCTCAAGCAAATGGCCAGGCCGAATCTTCAAACAAGATTCTAATTGAGATCATTGAAAAAATGATCAAAGATAAGCCAAGAAGGTGGCATGAGACTTTGTCTGAAGCTTTATGGGCCTATAGGAACTCAAAAAAAACAGGCACAGGAGTTACACCATACATGTTAACTTATGGTCATGATGCTGTTCTGCCTATGGAGATGAAGGTTAAATCAGCCAGAGTTGCTTTTCAAAATAATCTAACTGTAGCTGATTATACTCAAGCAATGTTGGTAGAATTGGAAGATTTGGATGAATTTAGAAGGGATGCCTTGGATCATATCATAGCTCACAAGAAGAAAGTGATGAAGATTTACAACAAGAGGGTAAAACCTAAGTCTTTTGCTGCAGAAGATTTGGTTTGGAAATTTGTTTTGCCAGTGGGTAAAGTCGATAGGAAATATGGGAAGTGGTCCCAAAAATGGGAAGGGCCATACTTAGTCCATCAAGTCTTAAGTGGAGGAGTATATAGGCTGAAGTATTTCAGTGGCCGATTACATGACTATCCCATTAATGGCAAGTACCTCAAGAGGTACGTACCGGCAATCTTTGAAAGGGAAAATTAGTGTTAGCCAGTACTTATGGCTGACCATGTGTACCTTTATGTAATAAAAAAATCGGCCATAAAAGAAATACTTTTCTTGGTATTTCCGGCAGATATAGTTGAAGTCATTAAAGAAGATGACTATTCAAAAACTTGGGATGACGTACTTTCAGAAGCTCCATGGGAGTATAAAAATTCAGGAGGATCAGCCATCAGAAAAGCTCCATACTGGCAGAATTTTGTTTTTTCAATAGAGAAGCCAGTTAGATCGGCCCAAATGACATTACATAACAACCTAATCCTGATCGATCACAATCATGCCTTGCCAGTAGAATTGGGAAACTTCAATGGTGAGGTCTATCATAGGTTTATAAATGGCCAATATTTTGAGGGGTATCAGCCATCTTTGTGGGAATAATAGAAGAACCAGGATCGGTCAGTCCTGGTTGACGTAAAATAAAGACCAACTTAGAGGCGGTTCGGAAGAAATAAAGTCTAGAAGCTCGTTGGCTGCAAGTTTCTTTCATGTTATAAAAATTCCAAAAATCTAATCGGCCTGAGTGGCCGATAAGACATTTGAAATTTGGGGGGCATTTGTTGGCACCAAAACTTGGCAGCCATCTCAGCGATAACGTGGACCAATGAAAAGCTGATAAGTATTTTTAACATGGTGTCAAGGGAATCAGCCAGTTAAGAAATATCAGGAACAAGTATTGGAGAAAGTTATTCAGCCACTTCATTAACAAGGCAGTTGCTAAAATATAGCAACAAACATTTGACTTTATTCAAGTTGGGTTATCAACAGGAAAGGAAAGACTAAAGTTTTAAGGAAATCAGACAACTGATAGGAATTCTAGTTGGATGGAACAAGGAAAAATACAAAAGGCAGCCGCGTCATAAATATAAAAGCGATAAATGGCTTTTGGGCAATTTAAGGGAAGAAACGGTGACCAAGTATAAGGAAAGAAGTTGCTAAAAATTAGCAACTTTCCAGCAACAATTCGACAACTTGCATTTGATTGGATCAAAGAGAGATTTCAGTAAAGACTTTCCCATTGAAACTGGAGCATCGATATTGAAGGCGAGGAATGTTGGGCCGTAGCTCAGTTTGAATTTCAAAAGAAAATGATTGAAGCAAAAGAGATTTTCTAGCAATTAATTAGGAAAATAAGTTGAGATATAACTTCTATAAATAGAAGTATTGTATTCCATTTCCAATTTGTCCAGCACCACCACAAAATATGCATTTCAACTAAAAATGTTTTCAATTGACTCTACGTCATTTTTTCCTATCAATTTCTTTATTTCAATTTAATGGCAATTGATTAGATCATTGTCAACTATTTCAATTCAGCCATTTACTTTCTTTCAATTTCAATTAAGCCAATTTTAATTACGCAATTTTAGTTAGGCTTTCAATTCAATGGCAATTGATTAAATTCTTGCCATTGAATCGTGGTGACAATTGATTAAATTCTTGTTATTACTTGGCTGATGGCAATTGATTAAATTCTTCCTATCACGTTTCAGTGGCGATCGATTAAATTCTTGCCATTGTGTTTGGCTGATGGCGATTGATTAAGTTCTCGCCATCACGTTCGGCCGGCGATCGATTAAGTTCTTGCCGCCTGTCTTCACTCGGCCATTCCATCCATTCAAACATTCATCAGCTGTTGCATTTCTTTAGACACTCTAAAAAGTCCTTGCTACAAACAAGGCATAAAAGAACCTTGCTGGAAGTTCTTACTAGTCTTTCTCCCACACAATCGCTTGAGAGTCAGCCATCGGAAAAAGGGATAGGCTGGTGTTCAATTACATATTTTGGGTATTTTGTACAAATACTCTGGCACGCCCGCGAAGAGTCCATCGACCGGCGTAGGGAACAAAAATCGCGCGAACATATTGAGAATACAATTATCAAGAATTTAAGAAAAATAAAATTATTTTATTTCTATGAAAACAGATATTTTGATAATTGAATTTTTAAAAGAAAAAATATATATAAAAAATTGTGCATAAATTTATACGATTTTCTACTATCACAATAGTGAACCAAATATGCTGTTAATTACCTGTTTTATTCATGTTTTTTAAATTTATAAATGTAATTTTGTTTTGTTCTTATTATTAAAAAAAAAAATAGGCTGCTTGGTTTGTGTTTTTTTTTCCCTTTTTTGCTTCATTATCTATTTTTCGAACATAGTATGATTTTCTTAGTAAAACTAAGGAGATAAAGGGAATGAAAGGATTTTGAATCTTTGATGATCCCAACTTATGTTTGTAAAAGTAAAAAGAGGGAAAAAAAGAAATTGAAACCATGGTATAAATTTACTATTATATCCATCTGCAGCAACTTTTACATATTCAGACTATTTGCACCATTAATTAATGAATTAAGAACATCAACTATAAATAAGATCATTGTACTTATATGGAAGGGCATTCTAAAATCTCTCCTCTCTGTCAAACCAAACACAGCATAGTGTATTCCTTTCTTCTCTTTCAAATTCCATCCAAACACTGGCCACTAATTTTCTTTTGTTCTCTTAATTATCTAGATAAGAAGAGAGGAACATTGGCACATTGCAAAAGAAGAAGAGGGCCACGAATTACGTCCTCTCTCTCTCCGGTGCTGGCGGAGATAACGACCCGAATTACACGTGGCAAACTGTGATCAGCTTGGACCACAAGAAGGGACCCACTCGAAGCACGCTCCGCGGATGAGGAAATCATAGCCACACACGTGGAGAAAGCAGGGGCGTGAGGACCACACTAGAATGTTGACGCCGCCGGCTAAATCAGTAAGAGTTGGGCCCACAATTGAGGGACAATTTTATTTGTTTGGGGACCACTTTGCTGTATATAAAAAAGAAAAAGGCTGTTAGCTTTGGACTATGGTCCCCTACCTACTAGGTTATTGCTCTGCCTGCCGTCTGCCCAACGGCAGTACTTTGTCAGCATTACGTCAAAATGTCTAACTCTTTTTATCATTAAATTAAGAATTTTAACACATATATAGTAGATTCTTGTAAAAACTCAATTATAAAAAAAATATAGACTTGTTTGGTTTCTTATTTTGAAAATAGCTTTTAAGAATTTAGAGAATAAAAAATTATTTTAAAAAAATTATAAAAGATCATTATTTTAAAACAAACTTTTTTATAACTATGATTCGCTGTATCGTTGACCTTTTCTCAAGTCCGATACGCAACTCGTATAAGTCAGTTTATAGTGAATTTGTCCGAATCCATTACACTACTATCACAACCGATAGTGCAAATCATGTTTATAATTGAATTTTTATAAAATAGTTTTCTAAGAACTGAACTAAACTAAATTTTTTATACATAAAAAATTATTTTTAAAGTTACAAACCAAACAGACTCCATGTTTTAGAGAATTATCTTTTATTATTCTTGAAAAATAATTTTTTATTATCTAAATTCTTGATAACTATTTTTAAAATTATAAATTAAACAAACTCAGCGCAACTCGTAAATTTTAGAGTTACAGACTTTAACCCTGCTAATCTAACATTGAACATTTTTTATCTTATAATAATAATAATAATAATAATAATAATAAAACATGGAATAGGAATCTAATTAAGATGGGGTCTAGGTATCATGGGATCTATGGAGATGTCATTATGGATCCAATCATGATTCACCACGTATCTTACCTATTAATTTCTTATCATATTGGTGGTCCATGCGCTTTACACTAGCCAACAAAATACCAAGTGGAATAACTAAATGGTGTGTCACGTGATACACTTTTTTTATTCACTAATACTCATGCTAATATGTCAACAAAAAGTTTTAGGAGAACCCAACTATATGAAGCCACCTAAATAAACATTTTGCTTTGGTTCTTTGGGTCTAATTTTTGTTTAACATGGTGTGACCCACACAAGTAGGTGGAAGAACAAGTTTACACCACGTACTATATATATATCTAATGGAAAAAGTTTGATTGAGATTTGTTGTCGTCTTTCTTCTATGGATAAAAAGTCTTAATATAATTAATGTCAAATTTTGTACTATTATAAAAATATCTTATAGGGCTTGATTATTGATTAGCTAGGATAAGTCTTCAAACATATACTTCTATATTTTTATTCAAATCCAAGAGGGTGTTAAAGCACTAATCCAATTCAAATCCAAGATGGTGTTAATTGTCATTTTGTAAATGCAACGATGGTTCATTTTGAAATGACAATTATCATCAAAATTCAAGTTTAGCACACAAAAAATTACATTACTCCGATTGTGATCCCCATTAATAAAAGTTGATGTTGAAAGTAATATGTCGGTTACATGACTTTATCATCGTTCTTAACTTTATTCCAAACGAATAGAGTCTGTTCTTAACTTTATTCCAAACGAATAGAGTCTCTTCATCGCATATATAGCATTCGATATTATTTACACACATATTGTCTCCAAACTCAAGCCTTTACTTTCACACATGAAGGTGAACTATTGTGGAAATGACCCATATAAATAAATCTCCCATATGAGAATTTAGTTGATTTACATTTCTACATGCTTATGTAAAGAAACAAGCCACTTCTCAAAATGATAATCTTGAAAATTATAAACAGTCATGTGATTTATGTAAATACAAGCCCAATGAGTACATTTTTAATCAATAAATGACAAATTTGAAAGGTTTTTTTTTTTTTTTTTGGCACCTGACCAGACCTGAAACCATCTCAGGGGTCCAAATCAAAGCACACAAAGCTTGGAGTTTCCAAACTTTACGAATAGTGCACAGAATGGACAACCACTACTCATCACAATCTTTTTTTTCCATGCCAATGTACACAAACAGATTGAATTGTTCAGCACCGGGTAGTTCAAAGCATTATGTACATTGAATTGTCGATTTCATCAGGCGTGACAACGGCGCTGCCCCCACAAGTATGTGATTGCCTTATTAAATCGCTTTTGTGTTTCTTATCGAATATTTGTACGATGTACTCACTTGGGTTTTGGTATATGTTTTTAATATCATTTT